AAGCCACATGAGAGGGGGTAGGAGTCCTGCTGCATAGTGTGCTGTGATGTGTTGATAATTCTCCACAAGCAAGTTGAGAGGAAGTTCATTGGGAAAAGATGACTAACCAGAGCAAAAACTTGGCTTAAGGCATTACAGGTAAATTTAAGTTATATGTATCAGTGATGAGTTTCGTATTATCACACACATAGAAGACCACAGGAGACAAAGCCTGCCTGAAAGAATTTATGATCCAGGAAGACAAGAACTAAGCAGCAGTTAAACTATATAAAGCAAAACGTGACTAGAAGTAAGCATCATAAAACAGAAGTGCAGATATTCTACTGTGGTTTTAATTTGGTAAATCTAGTATGTGTGAGTACTCTGTCTAACCATATGATCCACAACCTCTCTATCTCCAAATGAAACTTTGGGGCAGTCAGTTAAAGGATGTGTATCACTATTAATAAAAAGACTTCAGCCTTTGATATACGCTGCTACCGCACTGGTAGCCCACATACATGGTCTGCCCAGGGAATCTGAGCAAAGAGTGCCTGTGCAATGGCCTGAGGGCTGGTACCAGGCTGTGATGTTACCATGGGAAGGCCCAGGGCATTCATATTCCCTGATGGCCTAATTCGAATGGTATCTTACGTAAACTTATAGCAACAAAGCAGAGTTTCATACTTCTTTTGGAAAGCGTCTTCTATGTTGCTGCATGCTTTCCTAAGCAGTGTAAGGGAACTTGTAGCTACCTTACGGGGTACACTTTGGAAGTGTAATTAAATCAGAACTTGTGTATGATGCTGTGTAAATTTGCATTCGTGAAGCAGAGTGGGAAAATAATGCCAGCAGCTTCCATTTGTAGACGAATGTAATCTTCGTGTTTTGGGGTTTCTAGAGCATGCTGAAAAGAACAAGAATAAATTAAACTGACCCATCCTGCATATATAGAAATTATGGGGTTTTTTCTGCCAGTATTCAATTTCCACAACAGGAACAATATAGAAAATAAAATATTGTGTAAGGAAACAAATCTGCTGCTGAATCGGAATAGGCCTTTACTGCCTGAATGACAATCAGTTGACATTCAATTATCATGCTAGTTGAATTAAAGCAAGATAGAAATTACTTAATTCCATAAGTATATGCTCCTGTCAAGTCACTTACTTAATAATTGCTTCTTGCTAGATGGAGGATGGGAAAATGACCTTATAAGAGTTTTCTGAGACATTAAAAATAAAATTAAATATTCCCACAATACACTATAGATAAGCAACAGAGCAAAAGCAAGCTTCTTGACACAGGAAAAAAGTTAAATTATTATTGGAAATGATGCATTTCATAATTTGGACTGTCTTAAGCATGAAACTCTTAAGTGCTTCTGCCATTTTCTAGAGCACACTTGAATGACGATACAAACCTTTTTCTTCCCTAAAAGCACCGCAAGGATGCAACTGTGTTATACTTACTACAACATAAAACTATTTAAGCCTGAGGGCTAAGAATTCTCACAGCTGCAGAAAAAGAAAGAAGTTGGGAGGGGCAGTTGACCTGCTCATACATGTTTGAGGTGCTGCTACAAATACCGAGGATGCTTCTCACTTACCCTGTCTTCATAAACACCCAGCACAAGTACAGTCTAGCACAAAGTCAGTGAACTGGTACCTACTGCCATGGTCACATTTGTTTGAGTTCATAGAAAAGTATTGACAGCCAGACCTTGTTGTTGCTCATGAAAGTTATCAACTCACCAGATAGTCGTAACTTATCCTAATTTTTAGGATAAGCCAGGACCAATCAGAATGTGGAAAACTAGTGTGAGGATCATCAAACCACTTGTATGTTGACCTAAACAGTGAGCATCTTCAAAAGGACAACAGCATATAAGAGCTCAAGCTGTTCTTAGAGGACATGTCAGTGCCTTTACAAGGACAAAGTAGGGTAAGCTGACCACCCTCCAGACGAGCCAGCCTGTGGACACCATTCTGGCCAATGCAAGACATCAAATCAGTCTGAGGTCATCAAAAACCTTTCCTCATCCAGTAAGGACTTTTTTTACTATAATCACGAGGATGGTAAGAGGGCTGGAGCACCTCCTTTATGAAGACAGGCTGAGAAAGTTGGGGCTGTTCAGCCTGGAGAAGAGAAGCTGTGTGGAGACCTGATAGCAGCCTTCTAGTATCTGAAGGGGGCCTATAAGGATGTTGGGGAGGAACTCTTCGTTAGGGACTGTAATGGTAGGACAAGGGGTAATGGCTTTAAACTTAAACAGGTGAAGTTTAGATTAGATATAAGGAAGAAGTTCTTCACAGTGAGGGTGGTGAGGCACTGGAATGGGTTGCCCAAGGAAGTTGTGAATGCTCCAACCCTGGAGGTGTTCAAGGCCAGGTTGGACAGAGCCTTGGGCGACATGGTTTAGTGCGAGGTGTCCCTGCTCATGGCGGGGTGTTGGAACTAGATGATCTTAAGGTCCTTTCCAACCCAAACCATTCTATGATCCTATGATTCTATTACATGGTTAATATTTACATTACTGTTGAAGACATGGTGTTCATGTGACTATTATTGGCTCTCAAGACCCAAGGAAAGCGGGCAAGACAGTGTCTACACTGAACATGGTAGATGTATAGGTAAGAAATAATTAAATAATGGCTGTATGATGATGTTCCTGTGAAGTGATGATGGTTTAGATGGAGATTTACAGAATTGTTGTTAGCTTCATTTTATTGAGTTAACCTTGTGCAGTATGACTATGTGAGGGAAAAGTCAGGTCCCAGAGGACTCTTTCAATATGCTGTGACTGTAAGAGCACAGCAGGAGTGTTTATTTTTTATATTTGTGTAATGCAAAATCCAGTGCAGAAGCAGTAGATACATGATCTTTTGAAGATCATTGTTCTGTGTAAAATTCTTTGTTCAGCTATGTTTTTTAAACTGGCTATCAGAATGATGCAGAGGCATAGCAATATACAAAGCAGTATAACTTAGTCTTTGTTCTCTGGGTCAAGCTAAATTCATTTTAGCAGCTAGGAACAGATTGTTGCCTAATTTTTTATTCATTTTCAAAACAAACAGTACAGTTCCCTAATAATCACATGCGATTACAACTTAAAAAGCAAATTGCTACCATTTTTTTTTTTGCAAAACAACAGGAGATCAGTCAACTCTATATATTTATCTTAATCTGGAGAAATTACAAGGGTGCACAGATACAGTTGCGCAGCTAAAACCAATCCTTTTTCTTCTCTGTCTTTATATTTACAATTTTAAAAGCCTAAGACTTCTCTGTTTCCATTATGATCCTTTGCTTGCCTGGGAAGCAAAAATCTTTAATCCGTTTAGGCAGCCCATGTCTACAGTTTGTTCTGTCTTTAAAAGCAAAGCCTCAGTGAAACAAAAAAATGTTCCATGAGGACATTTTTTACAAAAATGGTGTTGTTCTAGATCCTTCCAGCCTGACAGTGCTACTTTCACTTTGTAGCCTGCAACTGTATGGTCCTTTGTGTGTGTGTGCATTCTGTGCTGCCAGGTCCTCTCCATTACAGGACTGCTGGTTTCACTGGAGAGTTGGAAGATCAAAACAGATCACTTTAAAGTTGCGTGAAGTTTATCCTTCTGCGGAGTAGATATATGTGTGTTTTTTTCAGCTGTGGAAACCAGGAGAATACCCCAAAATTGTCATAAGTAGCTTTGTCTATATTTTACCTTTGAATCAGTAGCTCTGTTAACTAGTAAGTATGGAATGGAAGGAGGAAGGCGGATTGTCTTACATGGAGGCTTTCCACAGGTGCCCAGGTTGTGCATTTGGCTGGAGGAGGGGCAGCAGAGACTCAAAGCTGCAGTTCCATTTTGTGTAATACCATGAATTCCAAATGACCATAAAAACATGAACTAACCTCTGGCATGTGACTTAAAAATTGTGAAATATAACAGCAATAAAAAAGTAAATTTTCCTTCCATTTATTTGTCTCCCTCACTTTTAAACCTTCCATTTAGATGGTTTTTAAGCTTTTACTGGAGAGAAACCACTG